TCGAGTCTCTGACTCATATTCCAAACCTATACTGCTTTCTCCGCAATAATTTCATTTATTAACTTGGGCCTCATACGTTAAATAGCTACGACTGCATCAAATCAAGAGGTGCAAGAATTGAGAGAAAAGCTAACAATACTACAGGCGTCTAAGGCTAAAGGGGAAGGTATATATCACGAATATCTCCAAAAATCTATTACTATGTTCTCGTATATCGTTTACGTCGATTAATATAATAAATTTATTTTAAGCTCCTATATACTTCCGATACTTTGATTCAGAAATAATAAGTCTTAGTTCCGAAAGTTGGGAAGATTTTAGCCAGTTATATGTTCGTTTGAAAAATGTTTTCGGTCTTAAAGGCCCATTATTGGATTATATTTTTTCTATTGGCGATAAACTAATAGATCTTAGCTGGTCTAAAAGTGTCTTTATCGATTTTATCGAAAAACATAGATGTTCGGCCAATAATCCGATTATAATTTCAGGAAAGAAGAAAGGTATAATATTTAATTATCTGTAAATCGTAAATAAACTAAACTAATGCAATCTCGTTCTACAGTTAAGAGATCATACCTGGATATGATAGGTTCTTTACCATCACCATCAAAGCTTGGGGAACCTGAGGAATGGTACAAGCGACAGAAAACTAATGCTGTTGATGCTATTTGTCTTAACCACTGCCCACCAACAGCTTCTAGCTCCATACCTGTTAGCTTGCTTTGTTCGATTTTTGGAAAATTTAAGGATTTATGTGATGAGCTTTCAGAAAGTGAAGACAATCTTTTCGCTTATGATTTTTGTTTTAAAATGGCAAAATTTTATAAGTCCGAATCAGATCGTCAAACTGAGGCAAATAAAATGCTATCTAATTATCTCAAACGCCCTGTACAACCAATTGATGAAATTAAATATCGTACTGATGGTACTATATGTTATGGTCAAGGTCCCGACGCATATCGTGAGCTTAATGTGGAATACAAAAAGTATAACTGTGGTTCCGATGCCTGTCCTTATCTTGAAAACTGTGGATATTTTCTAGCTTTTTGCGGAGAAAAAGAAAATCATCTCGCCTACCATGTGACTAATTTTCCATGCTTTTTAATTGCAATTCCTGGTATAGTAATAATTTTGCTTTGATATATTTTTATCAGAATACATAACTAACTTTTTTTTTAGGGCCTTACTTTTCTGTTTCCGGTGCTGTGTTTACTGATAAAGCAATAGTTGACCCGCTTACCCCAATTTTTCCTCTTATTTGGCAAAAATATGACGAAACGATGATGGTATCAATTGCCAAAACATTTCGTGCTTTGAGGATATCTCTCCAACTTCTCGATCAATATTATGCTAATGTTGATGAATTAATTCAAGACGAACCTCGAACTGTCCATCCCGTGCACCCTTCATTTCCGGAAGTGATTATAGACGATAAATCTTACATGGTTCAGATTAATTCTAATTCCCAAGATTCCCAAGTTAGTACAAATCTTCTTTGGGAAGTTACACTTTTAAATGAACAAGAGCCCCATATTACAGCCTACGTGAAAGCTGTTCAGAAACATCGATATTCACTTGACACACATAAGCTCTTAGCTGAAGCTGGATATGCTCCAAAAGTCTTTACCACCTCAGTAATTCCTGGAAATTGGATTTTGGTTTATATGGAATGCCTGAACAATCATTCAATACTAAATCACATTCCCTCTAAACTTGATGATCAAAAACGAAGTTCTCTGAGAAAAAAAATAAAAGAGGTAGTCGAATACTTGCATAATTTAGGATACGTTCATGGAGACTTGCGTGAGGGGAATATTCTAGTTCGTCAACTTGAAGATAACGAATTTGACGTGAAATTGATCGATTTTGAATGGTCTGGGAAGGTTGGCTCTGCCTGTTATTCTCCCTTTATGAATCGTAAAACTATTCAATGGCCGGATGGTGCGGAAGATTGGAAATTAGTTACAAAAAACCACGATCTTTTTATGTTAGAGCAGACTCTTCGGAAAAAAAATTTGTTGTAAGATGGGACAGAAATTGGATAGTATGTATTTTGATTTATTAAGAGGAGTGGATCAAATAAGTTTAGTGTAGAGGAACGTTACAGCCCAATTATGGCTGTAAACCAAACCCGTATGGGACAATTACGACTTTATACCTAATTTGGGTTGGGGGGTCGACCATTATTGTGATTCCAAACCCAATTCAAAACCAAAACCGGTGCCCTTTTCTTATTGCATATCCCAAACCCCATCGACCAACCAGCGATCAGAATTTTAATGATCGCACATACGTACGTATGTACGCTTGTTCTCTAAATTTAAGCTAGTACAGTAAGTGTACAAGTTTCCGTTAATATTGTAATGGCATTGAAGTTAGAACCAGTTTGACAAGTTGGTAATACTTTTATTTCTTTGTGTTCAAAAAAAGGGCGGCAATACTGAGTTGTTGGCATCTTTAGAATTCACTTACGAGTAAAAAAGTTTTGATTATGATGCCGCTCTTTTTTTTTCTTTTTTTTTTATAAATGGTAGGTCTTATTTATTTATAAATAGGCGAATATTTTAATTCTTAATATTTGTGATACTACAAAAAAAAATGTTAACTTATCTTTACTTCTATTAGATTGATCCTAAATGGCGATTATTTTTTAATAGCTGTATTAAAGTCTTTTCTAATTGTTTTAGAAATGTCTTTGGTTTTCATCTAACTAGATTCTGAAAAAAACGTTTAATGTATATAGTTACAATTATAATTTGATAATTGTTAAGCATATTTTTATTTCAAAGTAATTTAGTGTCTAAGCTAAACCGTTTTGTTTAAAGAATACAAGTTGGCGCTGTTTTAAATGTATATATAATTCGAAATTTTAATAAAATCTATCTTTAACATTCTTGTAATAAAGCAATTATTGAAAGTTTTATTATGGAAGATTTTCCTGAAAGTGTATCTGAAACATCGCAATCTAGTATATCACTTGGCAAATGAAAGGCAGATGAAACAGGTCAACGAAGGGTCTTAGTAAATAAGGGTGGACGACCAAAAGATCCTGTTTGGGAAGACTTCAATACTGGTGAATCTGATGGCAAAGGTCATTATGGTGCTCAATGTAGAGATTAGAATCGAATCTTTAGTTCGTCGAATATTCGAATCAATTCGATTTAAATTTAGATTCGAATTAAATTCGAATATTCGTGCATAAATATCACGTGAAAATTAGCCGTTATATATGCAAGATAGCCGTTATATATAGCTGTTAAAGATAAGCAAGATAGCCATTATATATAGCCGTTAAAGATATGCAATGTGGCCGTTAAATATATGCAATGTGGCCGTTATAACCATTTTACTGTAAAGATATATCTCACAATAATGACTATAGATGAGCCGCATTTTTTATTTATGCAGCCTAATAATTATTTTGTCTTGGGTAAATTAGGATGGCACCAAAAATCCCAACTAGGTCCACAAATGTTGAAATTCAACCGCATTTTTTATTTACGCAGCCTAATAATTATTTGTCTTGGGTAAATTAGAACGGCAGAAATATAACCAAAAATCTCAACTAGGATCACAAGTGCTGAAATTCAAAAAGGAAATTAAAAACAATAATTAGTAATCAAGTGGCATTGTTGCAACTTCTTTTTTTGAATTTCGGCACCCATCTATAATAATGACCACCTCGCTACTTTATTGACAGGCTTCTCAAATTTGATTGTAATCGATTAAAGTCTAATTATTTTAATCGATTACTATCACCAGATGGAGATTTTAAGTAGTCTAAATGCATGTTATTAAAAGTCTGGTCCCAACGAGGAGTTAAATTATAAACCAATAAGTAGCTGCGCAATGCAGTTGCATGAAACCAGGAACGGAGGAATCAGAGCATTATGGTATTAGGCATTATAAATTAGTTCATGAGTGTTATAATGACAATGCTTATATTTTTGAGCAAATTCAAATTAAATAGTTTAATTATAAAAGGGAAAATCGGTGCTAGTATTATAGCTGCTTTCATAAATTCTAAGACACCTAAAAAAATTTACTTTCCCGAAATCTCCTCAATCCCATTTTAAGAATTATCTAACTTTTCAGAAACTATAATGCATAAATCGAGGAAACTCGAATAAAGCATGTAAAAATCAGGTACAACTTGACACACATAATGAATCCAAAGGTCATGACAATAAATAGCAAAGTCCTACGTATGTTAAAATCAATGACCATACAATCAAATAATATCATATAATGGTATTATTGAGCGCAGTTTTTTTTTTTTGCACTAAAAAGCATTTTAAATACAGAAATCACGAAGGATAATCATCCAATTATATGCCTAAAATCTGGAACTCCACCTTGTTGTTAAACTATACCAGGAACACAGAAATTATATAATTTATTTTAGTATAATTCTTGACAAACTACACCAAATTATATAATTACCAATTATTACATATTAATTTTTATGTAACTGATAGTTCTAAACAAACCCAAATCACATCAACTCACACTAAATCATATAAATTCCATGTTCTTGAACCATACTTTTCGTATTTTGAACACTAGTTTTCATTTGATGATTTTGCCAGTCTGTGCATAAAATCTACATTATTTGATTTCATTACCATGTTTTATGTAAGGCTATACATAGCGATACTGTAAGAACAAAAAAAGCATCAAATAGGTTTATGTCTATATTGTACATATAGAAAATAACTACCCCAAGTAGGGTAGTTACAATATAGCTATTTTATATATCGACATACCATTATGATATTAACGTCAATTTTCTCCTGCAGGATATTGCTGCAGGATATTGTTGCATTTTATTTAATATTATTAGTTCCACTAATTACATGACATTTAACTAGGACTGTTAAAAGTCTGATCCTATTGGTCCAGACTCTACAAACAAGGACTTTGATCAGGACTCGGTCCTTGAGTCGATCCTTAGTCAAGCCTGCATTTAGACTCAGTAATAATTTAATTAATATTAACCTTGCAATAATTTAGTTATTAATATTAGACCTTGCGATAATTTAATTAATTTAATTAGCCAAAGCACAATCAGGAATTGAACAAAAGATTCCTGCATCTAAGACATTGTTCAAAGTGAAGTCGACTCAAGGACTGAGCTTTTTAACAACTTTATATTTAACGATTTGTTAGTCTATGCATAAATCTGCATTATTTAGGTTTATTACAGTGGTAACGTGAGGAAGGTGTGATGATAGAAAGTGCAACAGGCTGTGTGAAACTTAGAATCAATACAAGACCTATAATTGTAAATAGAATTTTCTAAATATGTAAATACTTACCCTTTTATAATTGAAAATCATAACTGAATTAGTATAATCATGCCCAGACCCTGTAATAGTCTTTAGTGTTAAAACCACGGATCACTGAAACTAAGTAGCAATAGTGTTAGCGAGCGAAACTACTAGTTTCAAAGATCAAAAAGATCGATTATCGTACCTTCTAATAGTTCGAAAGATATAAAAGCAGGGCCTTCGAGCCTTTAATAAAGTCGTTAGTTTTCGATGTCTTAAATGGTTGAATAGAAGAATCGATTTCTTAAGTGTTTAAATGATTTTATTGTTAAAATCTTATTTACTTAATAAAAAACTACTTAATAACCGTTATATTGAAAAATCCATTAAATTTCTTTTATTATTTCAAAGTATCGTCATAATTCGTTATCACTATATTAATTACATCAGTTACATCGTTAAATTGATCCGAATAATTAAATTTATTATATAAGAGTAACTATCACTTAAATTGATCTATAACCTGATCCCGCATAAATTAGTTAACCGATCCTGATTAAACTATCGATACATGTGAACAAGCCACCCTACCGATAGTACTGTATTACTTTATTCGAGATATCTTTTATATTTCCATTCATTATTGGAGTTAAATTGGATGAAATATTGCTACAGCTCTCCCAAACAATAGTAACAGTAGAAACAAAAAAAGCATCACATACTGTATATATTTTTTAAGAGGTTTATGTCTATATTGTACATACAAAAAATAACTACCCAAGTAGGGTAGTTACAATATAACTGTTTTATATATATCGACATGCCATTATGATATTAATGTTAATTTTTTTTCGCAGGAAATAGTGCCTATTGCTGCATTTTATTTAATATTATTAGTTTCAATAATGGCATATTATTGTAGGGAGAATAAGTTCAAAATTGACCAATTGTCTGAATACTATCATGTGTTGAATGAGACAAAAATTTCTGAGAATTTTGTGATTCTTAATTCTAATACATATTACAAATACAGATATGGGATTAGTGTTTCAGCCTAAACCAAAATTTTCAGCTAGGAGAAATTTCCGAAACTGAGTGAAACTTTCGAAACCGAGTGAAACTTTCTGAAACTGGGTGAAACTGAACTTCTGAAACTAATATAGAGAAATTGATTACTGTTAAACCTATTGTTAAAGTAGGCTGTTTTTAAATAAATTTTTGTAAAGAAAAAACTTTACTGCACGATTGGAGATAAAAAAAGTTAACTAGTAGCAGAACAATAAACTCTTACATTGAAGATATCCTTAAGGAATTAATATAAAGAATTAATATAATAGAATATTGCAGTTAAATTATTAGATAAATATACCTCCGCTAAAAAAGAATATGCATCTTTGAGATGAGCTGTTTATTAAAATGTTTTGATATATAGTTTTTGTTTGTTTTTTCTTCGATATTTAATAATTTTCTGTCCTGCAAAGGTTAAGAAATTGCAAACATTATTAAATTTCCTGTATGAGCAGGAAATTTTTAAGGGTTTGGCCTAAAGTGTCCTTAGAATTTACAAAATTATTGTTTTATTCAAGATCCCGTTATTTGTTAAGAAATGTTTAAGATTTTTGCTAGTTATTTTTTCTTTATATAGTGTTTTGAAGAAATAAATTTGATCATAAAAAAAATGTCTGTACAATCTTCTGATTCATTACAATCTCAAGATATCTCAAATACAAGCTTATCTACTGTAGATACTTCTCGTCCAAGAAAAAAAAAACGTCATACTGCTAAAAGTATAGTTCGACGTAGTTATGTTCATTATTTTTTTAAAGAAGGAACTATACCAAAGAGCGTTCAATATAAAGTCTGTATAGCGAACTCAGAAGAAGCTCATGATTATATTTCACATGACAGTACTACTAACCTGTGCAATTATTTAAAAGAACATGAAATTTATGATTATAACTATAAAAATTTTCTTGATACAAATAATGAAGTAAGTTAATAAAAGGATAATAGTGATTCAGTAATTAGGTCTTGTAATTTTATACTATTCGATTTCTCCCAAGAATTGAATAGTATAAAAATTGCTTATTTTTAATTGTTAAATCATT